GCCTGGTATCTAGACCTTTAGGCCAGATATACTCATTAAGGTATTTTGGTGCTACCAGTAAAAAATATAATTTTCTACTAATTGAAAATCAAAACAAAAAGAAAAATTTATTTTTCTTTTACTGTCAAGTATATGCTAATATAATAATGTAGAAAAATATGACAGGCATAGTTATCTTCCTATGGATTATTATTTATATATTCAAAATTTTTGAGTGTAATTTATCTTTAGCAAAATCTTACTAATTATGAAACAAGACATTTATCTAACAAATGGCAATAATAAAATTCAGCCCTCGTAGGTATTTCATTCTGTCCATACAGAGTTGACCAGGCCTGGTTATTTCCTTGTGTTGTTGCTTGCTTGCTACATATTTAATATTTATTTATCTATGGTGTTGTTTTGACCTCGGTACCCATTGTTTTACGGACAGATTTTTTCACATCTTGGATAATTGTGAGAGACATTGTGCAAACTACACTGCTATTGCTATGTGTTAATTGTAACATATGTATTGATACACTTCGCCACCATGTCGTTTTTAAGCTTGGTACCAGAGTAATTTCTAAGATCTGCGAGTGGAATTCTTCAATAATAGTACGTATTTACATACCTATTTACTTTATTACTCTAACATAATAAATCATCATGATACAACTCTAATCAATTATACATCATAATACAACTCTAATTCTTATTTTAGATCACTGAAGAAGATTACGTATGTGATGCCTGTCAGCAATTGGCAATATAGGGTATGTTCCGAAATACAACGCAGTGTACTGTCCAATGCAAATGACGTCATGAATCGACTATACTGGTGGTTCCACGATATATACGATATATTACTTTCCTCTATGGGTGATTCGTTCCAAAACATTGGACAGTATGACGTCATACTTTTGCGCCATTTGGAAAAGTGTTGGCGATTATTTTGTCATTTTGTGCTCCAAAAATCATTATATTCTCCTAATGGATATACCATCAATTATTCTATAATTTTTTGTATTTGAATAAATAGAAACAAATTCTGGCATGCTTCATTCGGCAAACACACAATTATAAATTGTTTTATTATGGCCGGATATCCGCCACAATATGGCGGCGGCACGCTAGTACAATAAAGTGTCAAGTGATACGTCATTTGCATTGGACAGTACACTGCGTTGTATTTCGGAACATACCCATAGCATGTCAACTCCGGGTTACTTAACGAATCTGGTGCTTCATCTTTCCGTGGCCACAAGCATGTTTGTATACTTTGTGGAAGTTCTCTGAGGAATCGTAAACGTGACCTTATCATGAGAGAGAATCCAGAATCAGTTGCTACAAGCAATACATGTTGAGCTTGAAAATAGAATTGCCTTATGGCAGGTAATAAATACCTTTTTATTTTGTACTTTTTTTGTTTCGTCTTGGTATCAAAGTTATAGTGAATTTATCACTGCAATTTTAATTGTTTTGTAAAAATGTGTCTTATTTGCTCGGGTTTAGTAATAACGAGCCAAAACATTTATATTAAGACAAGGCTGTATGCAGTGGCGAAGCTTCTATACAAGCCCAAAAGCCCGGCTTGCCTCATTAAGATGAATCAATCAATTATATGAAGTAATAAAATAACTCATAAACTGTTTCAAACTATTTCAAATTTCCCGCGCACTCTGTGAGACCTCGTAGCCTTACAAATACTGCTGTCATACATATAAGGAGAGTTGAATTGAGTGATTGGTTTTCTATTTCGCACGCGTGGGCTTTTTACCGGGCTTTTGAGAAGGCGATCGCTCCCTTTCTAACCTGTGGCATCTATAATGAAGTATAAGTACGATTGTATAAATAGGGATTAGTATGGAACTAAAAAGCCCGGCTTTTTAGTGACCATTAATTTTTTCCTCAGAGCGGGACACCTTTAAAATTATAGTTCTAACACTTTTGACTGCATTCTTGGTCTAATGGCAGTAAACGCAATTGCTGAACATGTGGTCCCAAGTTCGAAACCCGAGTCGGGTCAAGAATCATTTATTGGGTTTTTCCGTCACAAAATTCTCAGTAGCAGTAGTATTACACTTATTGTATATGTTAGTATTGTACTTACTCCATTATTAAAAATCAATCTGGAACCCTTTAATATAGTGCCTTTAAAGTAGTGAACTGCTAAAAACAACAAAACCATATTTTGGGCTTGCCTAATTTGGAGTCCTAGCTTCGCCACTGGCCGTATGGTTGTTTCAGGCAACTTCAACAGACCATATTTGTCATCCCTGTTGGCTGAGACAACTTCAACAGACCATGTTTGTCATCCCTGTTGGCTGAGACTCAAGAGAGTTGCAACACATAATATGCAGAGGACAGAGCCAGAGTTGGAGCAGGAGCCAGAGCCTCAACCCCAAGAACCAAATACGGACCAGCAAGATGACGTAGTACCTAGGGTGATAAGTTTGCCGCAGTATAGACGAGCTGCAAACACTGCAGCACATTGTGTTTTTTCTGTTTGCCAGAACACAGATTTTTGCATAGAATTTCTGACCCTCTAAGACCAACAACTCTTACCAGACAGAAATATTACTTACCTATAAATGCTCATATTTGTGTAGAACATACATTTATTTAGTACTGATTGGGATGTGTTGTTAAATTCTTAAAATAGTTTTGAGAACATTTATGGCTGAACAAGTGGAACATGCTCTTTCTTTTATAAATGCTTTCAACACATTTTTTGATTTCTCGAGTATGGAAAGTGTTGAAAGATTTGATGAGCATTTGTTTCATTATTGGCTCCGAATGAATAAACAATTTGAACTTTTATTATATGAAAGCCGCATCTTATAAAAACAAATAGAGGCATTTTAGGTTTAGGTGCTCTTCTAATGAAGATGAGAACTGTTGAATCAGATGACCGGTTATCTCAGTTATTAATGGTTCCAAGGCGAACATTAGAAAAATTAATGGATAAGGTTAGGGAAATATTGGTACAAGATTTTGTGCCTAAAAATCAGGGAATTTAACACATATCCCGTGAGCAATTGTTACAACACAATTTAATGATTCCAAATGCAATTTATAATCAAAATAATGATAATGTGATAATTATATGTGATGGGACATATATTTTTATAAACAAAAGTTCTGATTATATGTTCCAAAAGTACACAATATTTCTTACATAAATACAAAAACTTTTTAAAACCATTTTTGCTGGTGACACCTAATGGCTACATTGTAGACTGCTTTGGCCCATACAAAGCTACCACAACTGATGCCGATATAATGAAGTCTCTTTTCAGAGATGAAAACTCTCCTCTCAGACAATGCTTTCAAAATAGCGATGTTTTTATTCTAGACAGGGGATTTAGAGATGCAATTAGTTTGTTAGAGGCTTGCAACTACAGAACATATATGCCTGAATCCCTGCTTGAGAGTGAACATCAGCTCACCACTGAGCGAGCTAACAGGAGTCGTGTGACCATATGCTGTTGGGTGTTGGAAGTTGTTAACGGGTACTTCAAACGAGACTTTAAAATATTCCAGCAAGATTTTTGTAATAAAACTGTTCCACATATGATGCATATGTTTTCCATAGCTGCAAGCCTTTTAAATAAATTCAGTGTTCGATTAAAAAACAGGAATGATGCGGAGCAAATCATAAATGTGATTAGAGAACAATTTCCATTAAATAAAAAGTTATCTGATTTTATAAATAGTATGAATATGAATAGATGAACATCTGATTTTACTAGTATTACAGCTCATTCCAATACTAATATTATATTCCCCCTTCTAGAATATATATATAGAAATATCTAGGGCAAATAATATAACTTCATATATAATATGAAGTTATATTATTTTCCCTAGGAACATATCAGATTCAACAGGCAAGGTCCTATTATAGTGAACATGTCAGGTTACACGGAGGGTATCGAATTGAAATAAGCAGAGAAAACATTAATGTAACAGAGTATTGTTTGAGAGGAAGTGGACATAATTCACTTAGAAGAAGCAAAATCAAATCCAGACACATTTCGAGAAAAGTATATTATGTTTATATATTAATTGAAAATAATGTGTCTGGAAGGGAAGCTATAATAGAGTATTGCTGTAATTGTTTAGTTGGTAGAAGAAAAGTTGGGTGCTGTGCACATGTTATGATGCTTGTGTGGTACCTTGGGTGGACCAGGCATCAGCCGACAATATCGCTAGTGCCAGCATCACTCCTTGATGTTGTAGTTGTAAGATGAATAAAAAGTAATTTTGTCTAGCCTACTTAATTAAAGTACTCCTAAATTACACTATTACACTTCATTTACTCCCGTAACCTACCATTACTCGATTTTTCAATACATATGCAACGTTAGTATTGAAGACTGAAAGACAGTAGGTATCTAGCGACTAACTCTCTTCTGCTAGAATTGAAATGGTCAAACTACAAAAAAGCTTTGAAATCTTTCATGAAAGATTTCTTGTGATAATAATTACGCCATACTTGTTTTTTACGCTACATACCTACTGTGCAAGCTAGTGCAATATATGTAGGTGTAGTTTTTATTGAATTATCGGTCATAATTTGTCGTCGAAACTGTCAACTTCACGAGACGGTTTGACAGGCGGCCCTTTTTGACATCGAACTCTAGGAGTATGATGCACATACATAGGGTGCGCTTTGAGAGATGTTCTATTATTGGATAATAAAACTATTTTAGAGAAATCTAAATAAATGGAAACGAGATCGCTAATTGTGTCGTTCATTGTAATAGTGAATTATCTCCATGCAATGAAGTTTTGAGAAATTAAGAGTTTTGTTAATTAATGCGTAGAAAAAAAACTACAAATTTTTATTCAATGCTTTATATTTTTTATTGTAGTTAACAAATGAAATATTATAATAGTATATAGTTACTTAAAAATAAGACGAAGTTATTTTAATGAAACGAATTATAATTTTTTTGTGGACTTATTTCACTGTTAAAGTGACGAGTTATACTTATTGTGATTTCGTTAAGTGGTTAATCGTAGGTTATTTCGTCATCAGACGAACGTTCATCAGCATTACGTGTGCTTGACCGTGTTGGAATGTCTACAGTAAGGTTTTTGTAAAATTGATGGTAAATTGGTGGAATGTATGGGAGAAGATCAAGCATATCCTTCTTCTTAGCAATAGTAACTGGTCTTCTTGAAGGATAGAGTGGGCCTTGTTGAATATTGCACAAGTAAGCTGGTCGTCCTTGTTGCTTTTTTGATAGATCTACTTTGTAGAAGGGCATGTCAGCGTTGAGCGTTTCTTTAAATTGAAATTGTAAAGGATGATTCCTCTCAAACCTCAGCCATCTAATATTCAGCCAGTTTAAGTCGTAACCACAGGTTGTTTTTTTTCTGTTGGTAATAGATTTTTCTAATGCCGCAGTGCTTATAAATTCGGAATTTTTTATTTCAGTTACAACAAAATGTGATTCTTTGCGTTTGGCTGTTTTTATGATCTCAATCCATTGATCCGGGCTATAAATTTGTCCATGACGGCGACTTGCGCTCTCAATTATCCCAAATTGCCCATCATTAGGCAAATAAGAATGCCCGGACACTAAAAACTTGTGGTCTATGGTGGTTATACTAGTATCCGGGTCTTGTACGAGCTTTAAAAGGGAAAGGGTAGTCTTAATGTTTTGATTTTGTCCAGTGCATTCTTTGATGAAGTTCCTTTTGAACTTCAAACTCTTTCTTCACGTTCTCGTCATCGGTGCCTCTAATTTTAAAATTCAAGCTATCACAAGTCTTACATGTATCCTGGTGCGGTGCCTTGAAATGTAGATTAAACTTGGTGTTAAAAACTTTATTATAATATTTAAATTTTTTAGGTTCTGTCATTTCAGTCAAACATTTTTCTTTATATAGATCGTACATCTTTCGAATAGTTAGCCCAGGATTTAAAAACTTCCGGTTAGGATTACTTTTCTTGTGTAATGGCTTTGGTACGCGGGAAAGCTTTGTATATGAACAATAATGTCAGAATCATCTAATTTTCGAGTACTAGTCGTGCCTCGTTTATCTTTACATTGCGAGACATCGCCTTTTGATAGACAGCGATATAATCTTCCATCACTGATTTGGAATGTTTTCAAAAAATATTTTTTACATACCAGTTGTGTCATAATATGAGATTTGAGAAAATACTTAAACGAAACGTTTTTTCCTGCTCGTGACAGATCTTTAGGTCGTTTTCTATTAACAGATGCTTTTTGCACTAATGCATATAGAAAGGCATTTTGCTGATTAAAGTCCTTTAAATTCCAAAAATGATTCGAACATTTCTTGCCTTTCATTTTCTGTAAAAAGCGTATAACACTTTTTAGGACATCCACAGTCAATATTTTCGAAGATTTTGGTATTTTTCTCCCATTTTAGTTACATAACCTTTTCCACTATTACGCAATAACTTTCTTTTATTAACTTTCCAATTTTTCTTATTGATTGACCTTTTTCTAGATTTAGATGTTCCAGGTTCTGATAGACTAGACGGCATCATAATATTTTCGTCACAACTTGTATCTGTTTCTGAAACAAGTATAAAAACGAAACCAATAAAATAATAGTGATTTCTAGGACATAACTAAATAGAAAATATATTGTAGATATCGTATTTTCTTGTCTATAAACTTGAAAGTTATCACAATATTTTTAGGTTAGAAAAACAACTAATAAAAATATAACTTACCAGATTCTGTATGAATTTCTCCAGGAATAGGCTGATATTCAGAACCAGAATCACTAAAATCTTCTGTATTAGACATATTGTATTAAAACCCCACAAAAACACCGACTTTGAAAATCCTTTTTTAATAATTATCACAACACGTACAACGGATGACAACAATCGGTCGCAATAAAAGTGAATCAAGTCCAGACTTACTTCATTATAAAAGTGACTTGGGATATACTTCACTTTTATAGTGAATAACAGTACAAATCTGTTCCTAGACTAAACAAAATAGCGACATCTACGTCACTTTAGTGGTATCAGTGGAGTTGATTCATTTTTATATTGAAAGATATGATACATTGTGAGCCCACTATGGGAAAATAATTTTTTTTTAATATTATGGAGTTACACCACTATTACAATGACCGACACAATTATCCTCCTCACTTATCGCTAACTACACTTTTAGGCAACATCGCAGTCTGATAAAGCATTCAAGCAAGCAATGTACAATAAATTGCCTTTAGAAATAAGACTTCTATTAACCTTTTGAGCGCCAAAGTCGTCTATACGTGACCAGCACCCGCGGGCCCTGAGCGCCAACGACGTCTATAGTTGATAAAAAACCCGGCCCACAAAAATATGAAATATAGACATTGGAAAATTATTACTGCTATTTTAATTCTACACCCCTCAAAAATGAATAACCCAGCAACATGTGAGTTTAAAATACAAGTCTCCTAGAGCCACAAGTACTAAGAAACATTGAACTAAAAAAAATGGATTTTTATCTAAGCAAATACTATGTCCAGCACGCCAAAGTCGTCTATGTTTGACCGCTAGTGTTGAATGCGTATGCGTTAGGCATAAATTTATTGAAAACTATTCAAAATTAAGCTCAAACGTGTTTTTTTTTGTCTATTATTATTGATATTTAAATAAAACAAAAGGTTCATCATCATCATCACAGCCCTTCACAAGTCCACTGCTGAACATAGGCCTCCCCCAAGTAATGCCACAAAGCACGGTCCTGAGCCACCTGCATCTATCGACTTCCTGCATATCTTACCAGGTCGTCACTCCATCTAGTGGGGGGTCGCCCTACACTACGCCTACCTGTACGAGGCTGCCACTCGAGAACCTTTCTTCCCCATCGGTTATCGGTTCTTCGAGCTATATGGCCGGCCCATTGCCACTTCAGCTTACTAATCCGTTGGGCTATATCGGTCACTCTGGTTTTACTGCGGATATCCTCATTTCTGAGTCTATCACGTAGAGAAACTCCGAGCATAGCCCTCTCCATAGCTCGCTGAGCGACCTTGAACGTCCTCATACGGCCAGCAGTGAAGGACCACGTCTCTGATCCGTAAGTCATCACTGGCAACACGCACTGGTTGTACACTTTAGTATTCAGAGATTGAGGTATACCTGACGAGAAGATGTGTCGTAATTTCCCGAACGCTGCCCAGCCGAGTTGAATCCGTCGATTGACCTCTCGGTCGAAGTTGGACTTACCTAGTCGGACTATTTGTCCCATGTAAACGTACTCGTCAACAACTTCGAGCATAGTGCTCCCAACAACTACCGGCATAGGTGTGACATGGACATTAAACATGATCTTTGTTTTGTCCATGTTCATCTTAAGACCTATCCGTTGGGAGGCACTATTGAGGTCATTGAGCATAGTGCTTAAGTCCTCCAGCGATTCTGCCATAAGGACTATATCGTCGGCAAATCGAAGGTGAGTGATGTACTCGCCATTGATGTTAATACCGTATCCTTTCCAGTCCAGTAGCTTGAAAACGTCTTCCAAAGCAGCGGTGAAGAGTTTCGGGGATATAACGTCACCCTGTCTTACACCTCTCTGCAGTTGGATAGGTTTCGAGCTCTGGTTCTGTACTCGGATAGCCATCGTAGCCCTACTGTACAAACACTTCAGCACTTCGATATACCGACAGAAAATTGGCACCGCTGAAGGGACTGCAGCACCGCCCAAATTTCGACGGAATCAAAGGCTTTCTCATAGTCCACATACGCCAGGCAAAGTGGCAAATTGTACTCTTCAGTCTTCTGTACAATCTGCCGCAGGGTATGTATGTGGTCTATGGTACTGAAGCCTTTTCGGAAACCGGCTTGTTCGGGAGGCTGGAAGTCGTCGAATCTGCGTGCGAGACGATTCGTAATGACTCTCGAAAACAGCACGTAGACGCAGCTCAAAACAAAAGGTTGGAAATATAAAACTATAATTAACTACATGAATAAAAAAAAATTATCAAATTATCTTCGCATAATAAATCTAATATCTCAACTCTGGCGCATCCTTAGCGCGACATCGAAAATCAGTTCACTTCACTGGGCGCCGTGGTCAAGTATAGACGACACGCTGATGACGTCATAAGCGATTAGCGGGAAAATTAGTGCAGTGCAACATGAACGTTTCCTCAGAACTCATTCGGATTTTGGAAAGCGTCGACGATGATGAATTTTCGGAATCTGAATCATTACCTGAAGATTTAAGTGAGGTAAGTGTCTTTAAGTTCCTAATAAATTAAACTTATTTTACTAACATGCATATTGCCTATTTTATGTATCTATTATTTTATAATATTTTGTTTAATTTTAAATATAATAAGTTCGATACAAAATGAAACTGTTTCCCGGGCGACTCTTGTCAGCACATTTTTTATGTTTTTGTTTTCGAGTTTAGAATAACTCATTTTTTTTTTTTTTGCGCCCGAAGCAATTAAAGGGCTACCCTACACGTAGGGAGGCGGAAAATGCATTACGCATACCACGATAGCCGGTCTATCGTGGTTATGAGGGGCTCACTGTCCTACCGGGGACCCTAAGTGATACCCTCTAAAAACCGCCTTTGGGGACAGGCAACCGGCTGATTAAGCTCTATTGTGCCTTATCATGAGCGACCCTCTTTTGGGAAAAGAGGGCGCAGGCGGCTAAGTGCCGCTGAGGGAGTGCCTACGAAGGCAAGTTAATGTTAGATATTACAATAATTTTATTTAATTAGAGTTGGCCTGAGCTGCCAGGAGACAGTTCAGGTCGTTTGAAAGTTTACTAGGCGGGTCCGAGAGAGAGTTTTTCGGCCTGCGGACACGATAGCGAGAGGGGGGTGGAGCTGCATAAGAAGCTGCCTCACGAATTAAGTGGTTTGGGTGCGACTCTGAGGCTTTGAAGAAGTTCTCAGAGAGTTTTTTAAGAAATTGTTGAATTGTTGGGAGCTCTAAGTCCCGATGAAGGTCGGCATTGCGGACGTACCACGGTGCGTTCGCAGCTCGACGACAGAATAGGTTCTGAACTATTTGGAGTTCATTTAAAATGTTAGGGTTTGCGTGGGCAAAGACGGGGCCCGCGTAGGACATGACTGGTCGTATACATACCTTGTAGAGTGTACGCTTGTTTCGAAGGGACATTTTACTGTGTCGGCCCAACATACTGTTGAGCCTACTCAGATAAAATCGTGCGTGACGAGTTACTCTTTTGACGTGGGGCTTGAAAGTGAGCCCTGTGTCTAGAGTGACACCTAAATATTTGGCGGACGTATGCCAGGGGACAGGGGTCCCTAGCATACGTATTGGTGGAGTGTTTTTGAGACGGCGTCGTTTATAATCGAAGTGGACGGCGGAGCTCTTCTCCGGGTTCACATCGATGCGCCATTTTTTGAACCAAGCTCCTAGGTCATCTACTGACTTTTGGATCTTGTTCCGTATAAGGGGTAGTGAGACACCTTTGCAGTAGATGGCAGTGTCATCTGCAAAGAGGGAGAGTTGAACACCTTTCGACGGGATGGGAATGTCGTTGGTGAATAGGATGTACAGCAGAGGAGCAAGTACTGAGCCCTGAGGGACACCAGCCTTGATAGTTCGCTGTGAAGAGAGCGTGCCTTCGTGTCTGAAACGAAAGGTACGATGTTTTAAATAGGAGGCCACGAGACGAACTAGACGATCGGGGAGACCTATTTTATAGAGCTTGTAGATAAGGCCTGTGTGCCAGACTCTATCGAAAGCTTTGGCTATATCGAAAAAGACCGCGATGGTCTTATGACGACGAGGATAGAAACCGCTGAGGATATATTCCACAATGCGGTGAACTTGTTGGGGACATTAGTGTTTGGCTCGGAAGCCGAATTGATGGGGAATGATAAGAGGGTCGCCGTCTGTGGGAAACAGGTAGCGCCTCATACGACTTTGGATGACTCTTTCGAAGAGCTTGCCCATTGCCTTGAGGAGGCTAATGGGGCGATGGCTGGAGGGGGAGGTTGAGAGGCTTGCCTGGCTTGGGAATTCCAATCACAGTAGCCTCTTTCCACGTAGTGGGAAAATAACTAAGGTTGAAGCAGGCGTTGAAGATAATAGATAAAAAGGTTAACACCTGCTCGGGAAAGTGTTTTAGGGCTTGGTTGGAGATGCCATCCGCGCCCGGAGCCTTTTTAGGCTTAAGTTCTTTGATGAGGGATGAGATCTCATCATTGGACACAGAGATAGGTTCGGAGGCCGTGGGGGGTGAGTTCCGGCGGCGGACCTCATCCTCTACTGCCTGGACGTGTGAGGGGTCGACGGGTTGAGAACTAGGAGAGCATTGAGCGGCAATGCTATCTGCAAAGCACTC